CTCCAGGGCCCTGCTGGCCTCCAAGCTAGGGTCTGCAGGTAGAGGGTAGGGATACCCCACTGCAGCCCTGGGCTGATGCGCCTGCCATCACTTTCCCATCACAGCCCCTCGACCCCAGGTCGGGGGGGGGGGGCCGGTAGGCTCCAAGCACACTGGTGTAGACTCCAGGAGCCCGGAGTTCGGCTGAAGAGCGGCATCTTGAGGATAGTCCCAGGGCATCTTGGCAGCCACCGGGGTCTGCGCTCTGCCAGGCCCAGAGGCAGGGTCCACATCCTTCCCAGAGGCCGCTGCAGAAGGAAAGAACTCGGTGGTCCTTCTGGAAAGTGCACTGGACACAAAAGGGCTGCACAGATGTAGACACAATGCACTGACAGAGTTTGCACATACACATGTACACATATGCGCACACACGGACACCCGTCCGGATCAGTGCACACATTCTCCTACACAGATCACACAGGGACGCCCCGCCTCTCCTTAGCCCCCTCCAGCGCCCCAGGCCTGCAGGACCCCCAGCCCTGCACCCCCCTCCACCAGGAAGCCCTCCCCTCCCCTGCCTTTCTCTCCGCCTCTGCCCATGCAAGTGACAGGGACTCCCGTGTTTCCCCACCAGAAAGCTAGATTTTAACAGAAAATCTCCCATTCTCAGAACGTTGGCTGGACAATGAGATGTTTAAATGCTGGGCAGGGGACGAGGCTATGAGATTGTCGAGGGAAGTGACAGTTTCCTCTGCTGGAACCCGCCCCCCCCCCCCACACCCAGCTCAGCGTCTGCTAGAGAGGACGTCCAAGGGCTTCTTCAGCCTCACCCCGGGCCCTGGGAGCCTCTGAGCCAGTGGGGCCCCCCCAGCCCCACCGTCTCAGGTAGCCAGTGATGGTGTGGCCATCAGCCTGGCGCTGGGGTCCCGCCGAAGCCTGTTCCAGACACCTCCGCCCCTCCGGCTCCCTGGGCTAGTGGGAGGGCTCCTCCTGGCGGTCCGGTGGTGTCCGGTCCGTGGTGTCCAGCTCTCCAGCCCAGGCTGGCTCTGAAGCGGGACCCGCCGCCAGGCCAGCGCATCAGAGGGGGAGGGCAGACACCAGACAGAAGACACCTCCCACCCTACCCTCCTGCCACGGCCTGGCTGGCCCCTGATTACGAGGCTGGGCCTCTCTCCTCTGTCCAAGACCCCAGCCACCCTGGTCCTGTCTCACAAGGACGGGCAGTGACATGTCCTAGGCCCCCACTACCCCCATCAGCCAGCGGGGGGCCTTCGTGAAGTCCACTGTTCAGGCCCCCCCCAACCCGACCTGGGCCTAGCCCTGTGGTGTTCTGTGGTCCTGGCCCCGTGGCCTCCCAGCCCCTGCCCCTGGTGACCCAGGCATCGGCTGCCCCCAGAAGACCCCGTTTCTCTGTGCCTGGCAACATTGTTGGTCGTGGCGCCTGGACTGTGGGCGCCTCCCGCCCTCTCCTGCAGGCCCTCAGGGGTGAGGCACCTGCATCGGTGCGTCCCCTGGGGCCAGAGGGCCACACCTCATCTGGCGGTGGTCCCAGCCACACAGCCAGCCCTGCAGTTGCCTTCCACCCTGAGGACCACCCAGCAGCTCCCACCTCCCACTCCTCTCCCTAGACATCCAACAGACTAAGGAGCCTTGCACAGGAGGTGCCTTGAGAGACTGTGGGTGGGAGAGAACATTCCAGAGAGGAGTGGGAGGCAGGAGGTGCAGCCACTGTGCACAGGGGCATGACCCAGTGAGACTGGGGTGCGGAAGGTGGGGACAAGGACCCCACCCAGGGGCCATGATGCCAGTGATGGGGACAGGACCCCCGCCCAGGGCTCGAGACACCCATGATGGGGACAGGACCTCCGCCCAGGGTTCTTGATGCCAATGGTGGGGACAGGACCCCCACCCAGGGTTCATGATGTCAGTGATGGGGACAGGACCCCCACCCATGGTTCATGATGTCAGTGATGGGGACAGGACCCCCCCCAGGAGTTGTGACACCTGATGATGGGGACTGAGCTCAAGATCCCACTCAGGGTCCATGATGCCCCCCACAAAGAGGGGCAAGTCTGTCTCTACCTTGAGAGCTGGAGGAAACCCCACCCCAGCTGACCCCGTAGGACCAGTGGGGATGTGCTTAGCCCACAAAGGCCATGATGCTCCAGGTGAACGCAGTGGGGCCTCAGTTTCGCCACCTGTCCTGACTTTCAGGGGCTGCTGGGAAGCAGGAAGGCCTGACTATCTTGGAAGAAGATGGGCTGAGGCTAGGCTGGCGGGGCCAAGAAGCAGCGCACGTCCCTGCCCTGCGGCTGGAGAGCTCATCACGGCAGCAGTGTTCCTGGAAACCTCTGGTTTCTCCACCTGCCCTCAGGACTGTGAAGACAGAAGGGTCCTGCACCCACGTTTCTCCCGCCAACACCTCTTGCTCTGTTCCCAACCCCAGCCCTCTGGGCTGTGCGTCCCCTCCTGGCATGGGCACGGCTCGTGACCCCAGGGGGTCATAGCCAACCTCCGCACTCCCCTACCTCGAGACCCCCAGCTCAGGGAGAAGGGTGGCCCAGCCACACAGAAGGCTCCCATCGCAGGTGAAGAAATGTTTACGACGGTGCCAGCCTGCAGGGAACAGCCACGCTCCCCCACCACAGAGTCCCCTGCCCCAAGTACGGTGCTTTCTGGAAGTCTAAAGGGCCTGGGGAGGGCTCAGTGTGCTTGTCTGTACCCTCGGGCAGCGTGGCCCCCGTGACCGAGGTCGTCGGGGGGACGGGGGGATGGCTACTTCTGCAGGGGGGCATGAGATGGGTGGGCGGGTGGTAGACGCACAGATGAGGGAAAATGAAAGGAAGTCCAAGCGAGCCAGGGACAAGACAGCTCCAGGACGCAGATCGGGTGTGAGTTCTGTTTTCTCCGTGTGTTTCTGAATTGTCCCAGCTTCCTGCATCGTGTGTTATTCTTCTAATCAGAGCGACTAGAGGTTGTTTTCTAAGTAATATGAGCTGCGTCACAGAAAGCTTCCCAGAGCAGGGGGTGCCTTGGCCACCAGCAGTGGCCTCCTACCATCCTCGCATGGCCCCAATAGGAAAACCCGGCGGGGAGGGAAGGCCGGGTCCTGTTGGAGGGCCTCCAGCTCCTGGACAGGCTCCCTCCATCACGGGTTCCCAGGGCTGACCCCAGCCCCCAACTCCAGGCAGCCCCCTGGGGAGCTCCCAGAGGCCACACAACTATCAGGGGCCCAGCCTTCCCTGTCTAGAGGGGCATCAGGCCACGCCCGGGTCTGGACTCCAGCCGCCAGGCCAGAGGGTTATGCCGCGGTGTGAGAGGTCACTGGCAAGAGTGTCGGTCACCGTCCGCAAAGGGAGGCCTGATGCTTTCCCCTCCCACACTGTCCATGGGTGCCTAGATGCAGGGACACACTGAGCTGCGTGATGGACAAGGGCCCTGACCCAGCGGATTACGCTCCCGAGGAGCAGACAGTAAACACCCCAGAAGGGAACTTCCCTAGGCCTGTGCTGGGAAGGGAGAGGCCAGGGCAGCAGAGCTGAGGGGAGAGGCAAAAGGACCCAAGTAGGAGAGCACTGGGGGAGCAGCCCACCAGGACGGTGCAAGGTGGGTTGGGGGTGGGGGGGGAGAGGGAGGGAGGGGAAGGGAAGGGAGGGAAAGGGGAGGTTAGATGCAGGAAGGAGCTCAGCTGCTCCAAGCGGTCAGAGAAGAGGGGACCAGGCAGGATGGCCTGCCAGACCTTGTGACCATAGGTCCCACAAGCCGAGGCCACGTCTGGTGAGCTGGCGGCAAGTCTGGTCAGCCTGGCCTCAGACCCAGCATCCAAGCAAGCCAGACCCTGACTCCCCTGGTCTTGGTGTAGGGGAGGCACAGAGAGTGGGGACAGGAAGGCCAGCAGGACATGCCAGCGAGTGACCATGGCCTCACTACCCCTCTGTCCTCCTGGGCCTGGTGTTCCCCCTCAGGCCCGTGTGCTGCCTCCTTCCCGGGCTTCAGCGGGGAAAATTTTGGGAACTGCCAGCATGAGGCCGCCAGTCGCTGTCGTGGCCAGGATCTCAGCCGCTGGCCATCCTGGAGGGGCCTGAGCTGAGGCCCCAGAACTCTGCTGAGGGGGCGTGAGGCCATCACGGTGCCCCCTGGGGCCGGCAGGAAGAGCCGGGTTATCTAAGCCCCGGCGGGGGAGCGTCTGGGCCAAAACATCTGGAAATCCACGGAGCAGAGGCTGAGGGCCACAGCAGATAGCTGTCCGAGACCAAGGTCATGAGCGGGCAGAGAAGGTGACCTGGACCCAGTGGCACTGGCCTCAGTCACCCCGAGGCCCCTTCTCTGCCTGGGGCCCTCAGGGAAGAAGGATGGAGGAAGCTCCCTCCCCATCCCAGGAATGCCACCCGGCCACGAGGCCTGGCTGGCCTGCCACAGGCGGGCCCTTCTGGGAAGAGGCTTTCCAGGTGGCCGCCAGGCCCTGCACAGAAAGGGCCGAGACATTCCCTGGCCCAGTGCTGGTGCTCTAACACAGGCGGCCGTTCTCACAGAAAGTTCCAGAGAAGACACACGGCACCACAAGAGAAACAAGGCACCGCACCCGGGATCTGAGCGCAGGGTGGGGACGCACCGTTTGGGGGGCATCACAGAACCCTTCTCTGCCCTTTGTTTCTTTTGTTTCATTTTACCTTTGTTTTTTTTTAAAGTGGTACCATTGCCCTGTGACACGATACTGGTTTCAAGTGTGGGAGGAGGTAATTGGGTGACTGGATGTCTGTGAACCCTGGGACACGATCGGCATGATGTCTCCTGAGCACCCATTAGCTCGCACTGTCACAGATTTTTTCTTGTGATGGAAACTGTTAGGATCCACTCTCTCTGTGATTCACAAATGAATCTGGTTTTGTTAAGGACCAACGGCCAGGCCACCCATCCCACCCCCACCGCCCCTCAGGTGATACCTCCACGAGGGAGGGAAATGGCGCACCTTGTCAGGGACTTTTTTAAGTTTTAAACCGTGTCCCTGAGGCAGTGGTCCATCCAAGGCGGAAGCCCCTGGGCCAGCTGGGCCAGCGCCAGCCCCTCCCCCACATTCCTCCTCCCACTGCAGCCTTTAAAGGCCCCTGGGGCCCACAGGCCACCATCTGCCTTCTGCCTGCCACCTGCCACCATGCGCTGTCTTGTGAGCCTAGCTCTGGCCCTGCTGGCCCTGGAGGCCGCCCTGGCCCTGGCCCCAGCCCCAGCCCCGGCCCTCACCTTGCCAGGTAGGCATGAGCTGCCACCCCTCGGCCGGGGCGGGGCGGGGGGAGGCGGCGACCAGGAGGGTCCTCCCGGCCTCCCTCGGCTCCAGGTGCACCCCTGAACACTGCTGGCCCTGATATGTTGGTGATAGGACGGGCGGCGCAGAGTGGAGGAGGCTGGCCCCTGGGGGGGTCCCCCACAGCAAAAGAGCAGGGCACTGCCTAGAGCCCCCCAGGTGCTGCAAGGCCAGGCCCCTGTCCTTGGACCTCTGGGTCTTACCCCACCTGCTGCTGTGAGCCTGGACCTGACGCGCCCTTTCGTCCCCAGGTCACGCTCTGCTTACTCTCTTCCTTTCAAGAAAGGGGGCAAGTTAGGGTGCTGGGGACCAGACTGCCCATGGTTCCCGCTTTCGCCCCACCCTGCCCCCGCACCAAGCAGCCCCGGGGGAGGCAGTCCACGGGCCCCCCTCACCTGCCTGTCCTGTGTGCAGCGCAGGCTGTGTGCCCAGAGCTCAGCTCCTCCGAGGAGGACGCCTGTGTGGTCTCCTGCAACTCAGACGAGAACTGCCCCCAAGGCACCAAATGCTGCACCAGGAGCCCCTGCAGCCGCTCCTGCGTGGTCCCCCTCATTGGTAACACCACGGCCCCCACGCCCCACGCTGAGGCCTGTCTGGGGGTGGGAGGAGCCACCTTGCTCTAGGGTCCCCCCTGAGGGGGCACCCCAGACCCCTCTTAGTGACCTGCCCCCCAGCCCCCTGAACTCCCCCCGGGAGTGAGCCCACTCCCCTGCCGGCTCAGGCTCACCCGCCTCCTCCCAGCATCGCCCAAGCCCAGCTCTGTGAGGCGGCAGCCACGGTCCCCTCCTTGGGGGCCCGGGGAGGCACGGTGGAAGCCCTGGGGGCCAGGACACCAGCCGCAGGGGAGACCAGCTGCAGGGCAGACTCAGGGCCTGAAGGGCAGGCCGTCTCTCCCCAGCGCCTGTGCAGAAGGCCGGCCGCTGCCCCTGGGTGCAGGCCCCGCTGACGCCCACGCCCTGCTTGGAGAGCACTGAGTGCTCCCGGGATGACCAGTGTGCCGGCAACAGGAAGTGCTGCCTGAGCGCCTGTGCCATGAGGTGTCTGGAGCCCGAGGCAGGTGAGCGCCCCACGCCCTCCCGGGACGGCACCCTGGCCACGGCCACAGCCACGGTGGCAGCAGAAGGCCTGGGCCGAGACTACGTGTCAGGCGAGCAAAGGGAGGGGAAACTCAGAGACTCCTCTGAGCGGGACAGCAAGACGTGGTCCAGCCCAGTCTGAGGAGGGCCTGTGACCTTGCCATGTAACCTTGGGAGGCAGCTGGGCTCCCAAATGCGGGAGGAGGTCTGGGGCCGGAGCCAGGAAACGTGGATCCTGGTCCGCTGTGCCCACGCCCGCCTGTGGGCCATGGGGAAGGCCGGGGCGGGAAGGCTGTGGAGCAGCCCCTGGGGTCGGGTCCTGCTCCTCTGAGGCCTCCGTGTCGCCTGCAGAGGAGCCGCTCCAGTGAGGGGCTTCCCCGGGAGCCCCCCCACTGCCAGGAGCCACCAGCCTGAGCCTGCTTGGCAAGAACCTCATCCCCCCGATCCAGAGAGTGCGAGACGCTTCCCACCCGCTGCCAATAAAAACCCATGTAACTTCGCATCTCGTCTCCGTCTGTCTGTCTGTCCGGGGCACCCGCCAGGAGGGACAAAGCACACAGGCCTCTGGGAGCTCCCAGGCTGCCCACTCAGCCCCGGGGGTCCGGCCCTGCTGAGAGGCGTCGCTGGCGTGGGGATGGGGGCAGAGCAAAGACTGCAGGGAGGGCTGGGGCCCTGACGTCGACGGGCTTCACCCCACGGCAGCGTGTGACCCCACCGGGGCGCAGACGCGTGTGACCCCATCGGGGGGCGGATGCGGAGGGCAGGTGTGCTCGCAGGGAGCCTCAGTGCCCACAGCGCCTTGGGCAGCCTCGCTAGGACCTGCAGGGAAGCGCGCCCGCCCAGCACACACGCAAGCCCCCGGGGTTGCCACCAGACTGCCCCAACGGCAAGCACCCCCAGAATTTCCGGAGGCCACCGGCTCCCTGCCTCACTAAGCTCCGGATTCAGGGGTTCCCACGAACCCCACAGGCTCACCAAGTTGTAAGGACAACCCACAGAAGTCTGAGCGCACAGTCTGTTCACAAAGGACACAGACCAGAAAGAGCCAAATACAGACCGCACCGTGGGGGCGGGGACACGGGAGCCTGTGTCCCCGCTGGGGGGCCACCACCTCCCCACACACCCACGTGTCCCCAGCCCAGAAGCCCCCTGAGCTTCAGTGCCCAGAGAGGTCTCAAAGCTGCATGGACAGGATGAAGCCCTGGGCCATTGTTGACCTACTCAGCCCCTGCCCTCTAGCCTCACGGCTGGCTCTCAGGCCGCTGGCCTGTCCTGTGCCACCGAGGACCCCAGAGCCGCATCAGCATAAACTCAGGTATAAGAAAGGAGTCCTTGCAAATATCACAGGACACTCATATCACCCAGGGAATTGCAAGGTTTTGTAGCACTCTTCCGGGGAGGGGACAAAGACCAGAGTTCTTTATTTTTTTAAGATTTATTTATTTGCTTATTTGAGAGAGAGAGCAGGAGCAGGGATGCGGGACTCAATCCCAGGACTCCGGGACCATGACCTGAACAGAAGGCAAACACTTAACCCACAGAGCCACCCAGGTGCCCCCAAAGACCAGAGCTCTTGATGGCGACCCGGTGTGCGGCCAGCGTGGGAGCTTTCGGCCAGCCTGGCCCAGCTCGTGCGCGCTCCACAGCCTGCCACGTGCCCACTGACGTGTCAGGAGCTGGGGAGAGAGGACAGATTATCCAAGAAGAGGGCACCGACTGGTGGCCTTTTGTTTCTGGACCATTCTCCAGCAAAAGGAACCAGAATTCCTTGGAGACATAGTTGAGTGAACACGGGACCAAGCCACGTGGGACACCATGTGTCAAAAGCAGCGCCTGCCTGCAGCCACCACCAACTAGACCCCAGCAGCGACGGTGGCAGACAGGAAGCTCTTCACAGAAAGTGCTGGTCAACATGGAGTGGGGGAGGGGGCACAGGACTGGAAGCCCACTTCCACAACTCTAAAGTCATCATCACTCCATGCGGTGGCACCGGGTGCCGGGGAAACCACTGGGAGAAACGTCACAGCCTCAAAGCATCCCGTAGACCTGCTCACCACTCACCAGGGGGAGCGTCTCCCACAGCGGAGAGCTCGTCCCAACAGACCCAAGGGTTCAAACCTGGCACCGCACCTGCTAGGACCCCCAGGGCGCTGTGCGTCCCAGTGCAACCCAAGGGGACCACAACACTCACACGTGGTGGCCTGGCCAGAGATGTGCCATCACTTGAGTCCAGTTTCCACTCAGTGTTGTAGAAGACGGGGAGCGGAGGGGGCGGGGGGAAGGGACTCATCTCCTGATCTGCGGGCCTCGCCACACCTAGGATTCCCTACCACAGGGTCTCTTAAAACAGCTTTCAGGAGCTGGATGTCCATCGGGGTGGAAACCCTCTCCCTGCTCCACCACCCCCCACCGCGTGCTCCTGGCAGCCCACCCCAGAGCTCCCAGACCCTGCCAGCCTCCTGCCCAGGCCACCCAGCTCCATCCCCCTGAAGCACCTCTTCCCCTCCTCCTCTGAGCTGAGAGCCCCTGTGCTGGAGCCCAGGTGGGCCGGAGCCAGGAGAGGTTGGGAGGGCATCAGTACCGTCCGGGGCCAGGCCCCGCCACACACTGTACTTACCCCACGGCCCCAGGAAGCGCTGAAGGACTTCCTGGTGGACATGGCGGAAGGATGGGCAACGCAGAAGGGTGGGTGAGCAGGAGGGATGGGACAGGGGAGGGATGGAGGAGTGGAGAAAAGAGAAAGGAGAGGAAGAGGAGGAAGGGGGAGGTGGTATAAGTTGTGAGGACCTCCTCCTCCTCTCCTCCTCCTCCTCCTCCTCCTCCCTCCCCCTCTTTCTCCCCCCCCCCTCCTGGGGGTCTGGGGAGGTCCGGGGAGAGGGTCTTTCACGCCCAGGCTCTGTGATGCTACAAAGGACACAGCACTGCACCTCAGCCACAGCTAAGATGTACTACGGCAGACGGCAACACTCACGCACAGAAGAGGCACGGGGGAGAACTCTGGAGGCGGCCAGGCAGCGGCTTCCAGACCTGTTCCCGACTAGCCACCAAGGTGGCGCTGGATTCCCCAGCAACACACAAGCGGTCAAGTCCGCCTAGGAAGCTCCTCGGGGGTTTTCCCCGGGGCTGGTCTGGGGACACCAGAGGGGTGGAAACCCAGCCTGGCAGAGGACCCGCAGGGGCTAGCACCACGCCGTGCCCCCCCCCCAGGAAGGCCCTCGTGTCGGCAGTTTGAGCAGCCGCGTCCCTAGCCGCCCGGCGAAGTCTAACCCCTGCCCCCACCATCACCAGCTCCGCGGGTCCTGATTCCAGCGGCAGGTCTGCTCACTGCTCTGGTTCTGTCACTCCACTGCCAGCAAGTGCGACGGACGGGGTGGGCTGAGGTCTCCCGGCCATCCCCCCCACTCCCTCTCGAAGGGAGCCGAACCCATCTCATCCGGCCTTCTTGTCAGCCTGGCGCCCTGGGCCTTGTGAGCAGACTGCGTGGAGGGCACTGTCCTGCCCAGGCACCTTGCTGAAGGCACCGGGCTGGAACCCCAAGGCCACTCTGCACTCAAGTCACCAACAGGCTGGGGAGTAAGGGAGCAAGCCAGGCTCCCTGCTGTGGCCGGTGAGTCCCCAGACAGTGGGCCCCAGGCAAGCCCCCCTCGTCACCTCCCAGAGCGATGGCGACAGGGACTGTGGCCACAGCAAGGTCTGCATGCTCAGACCTGATGCCCTCGGCTTCCCAGGCCAGCTGTCCCCCTACCCAGGCTCCCGATGGCAGCTCTGGCAACCACTCTGATGTCCCACCAGCCCAAGGAACTAAACAGACAGCAACGGCAGGTGCCCTAAACGTGGCCTAACGGTGAAGCCCACTCATGGGCCAGAGGCCCCTCCCACGGGCCCCCCACTTTGTGCAACGCACCTGCTTTACTGAGACAATTCACGGAACACACGTACACCCCTCAACCTGTAGAGCCCAGGGGCCCCTCGTATTCTCAGCTAACGGGGCATCTGCCCAATCCAGAGCGTGTCCAGTGCCCAAAGCCATCCCAGCCCCACGACCCCGGCCCTGGCAAGCGCTCGTCTACTTCTGCGCACGGGGACTGCGTGTCCAGGACCGTCTCCTGTCAGGACTCTGCCACCGAGCACGTCCTCAAGGCTCATCTCGAGGGGCTCTGGCTGCCACCATCCCATCAGGGACACTCATTGATCCACCGATGGTCACCGGACCGTGTCTAGTTGGGGCCTTCTGGGAGCGCTTGTGCACGAGTGTCGCACGAATGCGTTCTCCGTTTTCTTGGGGTGTACACGTAAGAGTCACACTGTTTCGAGAAACTGCCCATTTTCCAAAGCAGCCACACCGTGTTACACGCCCACCGGCTATGCTCAGCACACGGAGCTCCCCACGCCCTCGCCAGCACCGGTCATCCCCCGGGTTCTGCGGCGGGGGTTTTCACGGCCACCATGAAAGTGGTGCAAACGGGCACCGCACTGCGGCCGCGAGCGGCACCTTCCGAGGGCCAGCGACGCTGAGCATCCTCGCACGCGTTCACTGGACACAGGTGGGGCTTCGGAGAGAACCTACTCCCACTCTGTGACTGGTTTGCAACGGGGCCGCTGCCGTTTACCAGGGAGGTGTAAGAGCTCTGACGCTGCGTCTTAGTTTGGAGACGCACCCGTTATCACCGCATGACTTGCTGTTCGTTGCTTTTTCTTAATATTCTTCCTTTTCTAGAGCGATTTTAGGTTCCCAGCAAGAACAGTGAAATCTACCTCTTGTCCCCACAACACACACGCACACCCTCCCACCACCATCAACCTTCCCCAGCAAAGGGTACACTCGCAGCTGACGGGACAGCTCCCTCTTGGTGCGCATGTCCGGTGGCTTTGGACAAACGTGTGATACCCACCCGTTATAGTATCACCCAGAATGGTTTCACTGCCCCAAAGATCCCACACTCTTCCTGTTCATCCTTCCCACCCCCAGCCTGGGCAACCACAGACCTCTCCACGGTGCTGAGTGTTGCCTTTTCCAGAATGTTCTACGTTTGGAATCACACAGTATGCGACATTTGCAAATAGGCTTCTTTCACCTAGAAGCGTGCATTCGAGGTCCCTCCATGTCCTCTCGAGGCTTGACTGCTCACTCTTTTTAGCGCTCCGTAATACCCCACCAACTGGGTGGACCACAGTTTGCTTGGCCACCCCCCTCCTGAAGAGCGCCCTGGTTGCTTCCAAGTCTTGGTAACGAGGACTGAAGCTTCTAGAAACATCTATGTGCAGGTTTCCGTGAGGATGTGGGTTCTCAGCTCTCCAGGGGAATACCAAACAGCACGACTGTGGGCCTGCGTGGCGTCTGGGTGTGTTCTGGCCCCTGTCACAAAAATATCATCCACTCTGTGCCTTACGAGCAACGGAAATCTGTTTCTCACAGTTCTGGAGGCTGGAGGAGCGAGACTGGGGCACTGGGATGATCGGGGGAGAGCTGTCTTCCCTATGCAGGCTTTCTGCTGTGCTCTCACATGGTGGAAATCCAGGGGCTCTGTGGGGTCTCTGTCTCTTTTTCTTTTTAAGAGAGAGAGCCCAAGCTTGAGAGGAGGGAGGAAGCAGACTCCGTGCTGAGCGTGGGGCCCCACTACACAGGGCTCAATCCCATGACCCTGAGATCATGACCTGAGCCAAAACCAAGAGTCAGACGCTCAACCAACCGAGTCACCCAGGTGCCCAGGGGTCTCTTTTAAGGACACTAATCCCACCAAGAGGCCTCCAGTCTCATGACCCAATCACGTCCCAAAGGCCCCACCTCCTAACACCATCACCTTGAACGTCAGGTCTCGACATATGAACTGGGAGGACACAGCCATTAGGTCCATTGTCTTTGGTAAGAGTATGTTTAGTTTTGTAACAAAATGTGAAACTTTAAAAACAGCCACGCCGTTCCGCAGTCCCACCAGCAATGGAGTAGACAACTGAGGCCAGAAACCAAACCAGGACGCATAATAACCGCAAGAGAGAGAACAGCAACTGAACAGGGAAACGGAAAACCTAGAGGAAAAAATTCCTTTCACCAAAATCCTTCCATAAGAGAAAATATCACAATCATGAAAAAAAAAAAAGCATACAAAGGAACATTCAAAGCTAAAAAGGAGACCTCAGTAAGTCTAAGTGTGACGGCAGAAAGCAGGCCTCGGAGAGTCAGAAGCGGACGCTGCGGGGACTCTCAGGAAACAAAAAATCAGGAGATGGAAAGAAGCTGAGATGAGACAAGACGGGAAAAACAGGGAAAATCAGAAACCAGACTCAAAGAGCCAATATTCAATCCTGGGCATTTTGGAAAGAGATTAAGTGAAGGAAAGGATACGCCCAACCCAGGAAACAAGGACCCCAGCCAGAGGACGGGGCTTTCAGGCGGGGCCCACCAGGGGCTCCGGCACGGAGACTCTCAGCGCCGGGAGATGTCAGACCTGCGGGCATAATGGAAAGCCAGCTTTTCGAAGTTAAAACAGAAATAAGAAAAAGGACAGAAGGAGGGAGAGAACAGAAAGAAGAAAGGAAGGCAGTGGAGGGAGGGCGGGAGGGGAGGACTGACACCACAGGCCACTTGGGGACTCAGAACCAGGGGAGCGAGGAGGCCGGAGGGTCCGCGGCGGCCCGCGACAGCAGGAAGCGGATTCTAACCACGGCCAGCCGGCGGGTGGGGGACACAGGACCTTTCAGACGCGCGGGGTCCGAATTTGCCCTCACCGCGCCAGCTCTCCAGGGCGAGCCAGGGCGCCCTCCGGGCAACGCGCGGACGGAGGAGCAGCGACAGGACTGCGCGAGGAGGACCCCGTTAATCTTCCCAGGGAAGGGGACACCCCGCAGGCGGCCCCCGGGGAGAAGGGGACCCGGCAGACGGCCCCACGGCCGGTCGGAAAGCGCGGGGACCCGCCCGAGGGGTGGGCCGGCGGCAGAGACCGAGGCGGGCGGGGAGCGCCCCGGGGAGAGGCGCCGGACTCTGACGCGCTCCCGCAGCCGCACCCGACGACCACAGCCCGGGGCGAACCGCACGCAGCGGGGAGTGCGCGGCGGGAAGGGGCAGTAACCACGCACAGCCCTCAGGGGCGCGGGGCCCGCCTCCAGCCCTCCCAAAGCCACACGCCCGCACCCGCGAGCCGGAGACGACGTGCGTGAGCCCCACGGCCGCGGCGGGAACAGCGCCCGCAGGACCAGGCACACTGCGCCTGCACGGCCGCACGACACTGTGGGAACCGCTCCACCGCAGCCCCTCCGCGCGGGACCCAGGGCGGGATGCAGGGCGGGGCTGCGGACGCCCGGCCGTCAGCCCCCGGGTCCCGGGGGCCTCATTCTTCCCGGTTCCCATCTTTCCCGAACTGCCCAGCACTCGCCTCTCGCCCAGCTACTTCCCATTTCCTAGGTTGTGCCCTCAGCAAAGATGGCAGTCGGCCAGAGAGGCGGTGGCTAGCGTGACTTCCGGCTGTCCGCCCTCAGCAAAGATGGCACCCTGCCGGAAAGGGTGTGGGCACGACTTCCGGTCGGGCGGACCTCGGCTAGGCTCGTTTCCGGCGGCGCTCCAAGTGACGTAGCGAGCGCGCCGCGCGGCGTGAGCCGAGGACGGTACGGGGGCACATGGAGGTCAGCGGCAGCTCTCGCGGCTGCAGCGTATGTCTGGCGTGGGTGGGGAGGAGGATTCTGGGCGTGGGTCCTGAGGGCTGGAGGGCGCACCGGGGGGTCGGGGTCCCGCGGCTGTAGGCGGGGGGCCGGCCGGCCGGTGCGTGCGTGCTCTGCCGCCGCCATGCCGCGTGGTGGCCGGCGGGCCCGGGTGCGGCTCTTCTGTCTGCCCCCGACGGCCGGGCTTCGGGGCTGGTGTTCGCCCGATCCAGCGGGCCCTCTGGACCTCAGCTCGGTCCCCAGGCCACAGGGCTGTACTCCCTGGGGGGGCGTCCCCGCCGGCGGGCGCCGGGGGTGCGAGACGTCGCCTTCGGGCGCGTGTCTTTCGGAGTCTGGGCTGTGCGGTGGTGAGACCCGAGGCCTCGCACCTGCGGTGCGCCGGCGAGCGAGGGAGGCGTGCGGCCCGGGGCCAGGCTCCGGGCAGCTGGGAGTCTAGCGCGCGCTCTGCTTTAGCAGGAGGGGAGGCCCGGGCACCTGCCGTGCGCCGGCCGCGGGGTCGCCCCGCCGAGCGAGACGGTCCGAGCGGCCGGAGGCCGCAGCAGCGGGATGTGCGACGGAGCCTGGGAGGAGCTGACGTGTCGCCTGGGCGTGGAGGCATGAAGGGTGATTTCCTGGGTCTGTGGCGTCGGGGGACAGCGGGGCCTGGGGGGGGCGGGAGGCTGTGGGGTGTGGATTTTCCAGGCGCGGTCCGGTGGAAAACGTCTTCCCCTGCGTCTCCCCAAGTCAGTTCTTCTAACTCTCGGGGCCTTTGAAGTGAGAGGGGCCCGGGGCCAGCCCCACCGGGAGGCCTGGACAGCCGGGGGCTGGATTGTCCAGCTCAGCTAGCTGACTCCAGGCGCTGCCGGGACGGCCTCTCCGAGGCCCAAGCCCTGGCGCCCTGCGCTTTGGTGTTCAGTCACGTCCTTCACGGAAACCAAGTCTGTGAGGTTTTTGCTGCAGAAAGCACCAGCTCATGCGGGGACAGGCAGAGAGGAGAGGTTCCGGCTGGTGGGGAGGGTGGCCGTGCCTTCGTGGGTCCTGCTCTCGGGTCCGGGAGTGGGAGCTCGCCCAGCACCGCTTTCTCTCTGTTGACTCTGCAGGGCTGTGGAACCACGTGCTAGCCGTCTTACCTGCCGGCCCCTGCCCCCAGCCCCCGGCCGCCATGGCAGCCCGCCTGGTGAAGCGATGCGCTTGCCTCCTAAGGGAGGCCACCCTTGTGCCCCCTGCCGCGGCTCCTGCCGTGGCTCCCGTGGGTCGACTAAGACTTGCCCAGGTCGGCCGCGGGACTCTGACCTCCTCAGCTACCTCGCCCAGTTCGCACTTCCCACGTTCCTTGTCAGGGCTCCTAGAGAAGGAGCACGTGTTCAGCGCCAGGCCGCAGCAGCAGGAGGTGGACCGGCTCATCGAGAAGGCCTCCCGGCCAGAGGAGCTCCTGGAGCTGGTCAGTGGTGGTCACCACCTGCACGAGAACCACGCAGCCCTCATGCTCATCCAGCTTTCCCGCCTGCTCTCTGACAAGCCGGAACACAAGGCCTCACTCACGCAGGATGCCCGCTTTCAGCAGCTTCTCCAGCTTGTCAACAGCCAGGTGGGTTTCTAGAATGTTCTCTCAGGGTTCAACGGGCAGAAAACAGTGGCACTGGAGTCTAGAGCAGTCAGTCGCTTTCTGTAGCCAGGAGCCCTGTTGCTTGCCTAGCTCGTCACATCCTTTGGTTACTCCTCCGCACGGTCCCCTTAGCTGAATTTTGCTGTCCTTCTCTGCCAAGCAGCAAATGGGACACGGGACATGGATGCGCAGGAAGCGAGCTGGTTCTTCTCCGTTTCCGGGTGCTTTTGCCCTGGGCAGGCAGTCCTGATCTGTGTAGCTCCCCTTCAGTGTCTGGCTCGCGGTGGGCACGCCCCTAAAGCCGGAGGAGATATGGGGGAGGCTAGGGGCTGATGAAGGGTGCCAGGGAGCTGGGCTGAGCACAGCCGTCATCCAGCTGGTCAGATCCTTAACACACAAGTGCAGAGGGCACTTGTCTGTGGCACGGGGGTGGGGCGACACACCAGCTCTTGGCTGTGGCCTCGTCGGCCCACAGTCCTCCCCTGGTCCATGCTGGAGGAAAGCCCTGCTTCGGTCGCTGAGCTGCAGAGCCCGGTGTGCAGGTGTCAGGCCGAGGCGGAGGGGAGTCACAGGTTAAGGGTGGGGTTTCCGACTACAGTGTGGGAAAGCAGTGGGCGTGGCAGGCTGGTTTTACAGCCAGATAGGCCCGCGGAGAAAATGCCGGAACGCTTCCCTGGTAAGGGAGGTGCGGAGCTTTCCGTCTCGGTGAAACGTGCACGCGCTGAGGTCACGGCAGAAGGTCACTTCTCTCTGATGCTGTCGCTTGTAACCCCTTACCAGCCTCCTCCTCGCTCTGCGACTATGGTCCCGGGAGTTACTGCTTTGCACGCACACTGATAACTGCAGTGTGTTTCAGGGGACGAGAGCAGATGTCGGAACAAACCCATAAGCCAAAGCAAAGTGGGAGCGAAGTATAATGCAGGTGGTGACCGAGCTTCCTTGTAAAAGCTCTCCTGCCTTCCGGGAGACACAGGTGCCGCACCACGCTTCCTGATACGGACTCAGATTTTCTACTCGCTGGCCTCCCCAGCCCTTCCCCGGCTCCCCTGTTTGCACTCTGCTTCCTCTGTGCAGTCCCATTTCACCGGGGAAGGGAGCGGCCCCACCAGTGGGGCTGAGTTAGAGGCTCAGTGCTGTGGGCAGGACCCCACCTGAGCCCCTGCGTGCTGGCTCCCTGGGGGCCCTCTGCCTCATACTGCCTCTGCGAGGGCATGAGCTGGGCTAGAGGGGCCCCTGCACATCCCTGAGGCCTGGAAACATCAGCAGGGTCCCCCTTGTCAGAAACAGCCCCCGAGGAGGAGGAGGGAGGTGCTGGTGCCACTGCCTCGGCTTGGGGACACCACGTGTTGCGGTGTGAAGCCTCACGGGGTGTGGGTCACTGAGGTGGCAGCGGTGGTGACACGTGAACAGCCAGCCCCTCGTCCCTGGTGCCTGGGGGTGTGGGGTCGCCAGGCCTCCTCTTGCCCACATATCCCAGGGCTGCTTTGCAGCCGCACACCCTGGGGAGCAGGGGCTGGATGGGAGGGTGGGGCAGCAGGGCGCTGGCACCTGGATGTGCTCCGCGGGGCAGCTCGCTCCCCTCAGCTAACTGCTTACCGTCGCTGCGAGCCAGGGAGCCAGCGGGTGGGCAGTGAGCCTGAGTCAGCCCTGCAGGCCTTCCCCCGACCGCTGGACTCAGCAGCTTGCTGGGTTCATGTCTGCGTGCGCGTGGGGCGCTCGTCCGGCGTGCCCACTACACAGATGCGTGGCCGGGTCTCTGTAACCGCCTGCCTCTGTGGAATTTGCGTTGGAGGAGCTTGGGGGGTTTTCCTCCTCGCACAGAGCTCGTGTTCGCAGGGGACCCAGACCGCTGGCGGAGCAGGGCAGGCTGCCGGAAGTGCCCACCTTCCGGCCGTGGGCGGGGAGCCGTGCTGGCTCCGGACGGGTGGGTTCTCGGGTGTGACTTCCCGTGTCCTCCCCGCCCAGATAGCCTCGGTCTGGCACGGACCCCTCGTGAGGCTGCTCCGGAGCCTCTACGCGCTGGCGCTGCCCGTGGCCTGCAAGCAGCTGCATTCGGTGGAGCAGGAGGTCCGCTGGCGCCTGCGCAGGCTCCGGTACAAGCACTTGGCCTTCCTGGCGGAGTCCAGCACCACCTACATGCAGCAGCGGGGCTCCCAGGAGCTGCTGGCCGAGCTGCTTATGAGCCTGGAGCGGCGCTGGGCAGAGATCGAGGACAGCCGCACGGTGGTGGCCCTGATGGCGAAGGCGGGGCCCCTCTCGGAGCCACTGATGAACCGCCTGGAGGACAAGGTACTGGAGCAGGGGCGCAGGGCGGCTGTGGGCACACTCTGTGGCCACGCTTACCAGCCCAGCGTGCTTCGTCTTCTCTAAAATCACCGTGTGCGCCTGACCTGGGCTGGCGGGTGGACCCACTCCAGGCTCACGTGTCCCAGTGATGTGCCGCGCCACACCCCCCTTCTCCCCCCCGCAGTCTGGTCACATTCAGCCCCCGTTGCCGTCGTAGCGGGCGCTGGCCTAGATGGCTGCTACAGCAGGCCGTGCAGCCCATGGGCCCCGGACCCCCCGCGCTGGGACCTGGGGATAAGTCTGGCTGCAGACAGGGCACCCGGGCCTGGGGCTTCCCCGGGTGGGAGCTGGGGCGTGCCCCACCCGGCTGGGGCCTGGGGTTAGTGAGCTCAGGCCCAGTTGCTGTCCCACAGGGGCCGCGCAGGAGCCCTGGCCTCGGCCGCCCCGCTGACCCCTGCGGCTGTGATTGACAGTGCCTGGAGCTGGTGGAACAGTTTGGGCCCGAGGAGCTGCGGAGGGTGCTGGTGACGCTGGCCGCTCAGAACCGGCGGTCGGTGCCCTTGCTGCGAGCCGTCTCCTACCACCTGGTGCAGAAGCCCTTCCCCCTGACGAAAGGCGTCCTCTTGGACCTGGCGTACGCCTACGGTGAGCCCTTCCGGCCGGGAGCAGCGGGGAGAAGGGCGCTCTGGCCGCAGCTGCGTCAAATTCGGTGCCCGCCCGTCCCGTGGCCGGCGCTGGCCAAGAGGCTGCCACAGAAACACAGTGACCCATGGGCCCTGGTGCTCTCTGCTGGGCCTCAGGGATAAAGTTGGTCACGGACACCTCATCCCCAGACCTCAAGGCCAGGCTGGGGTGGCCGGGTGGCTCCCAGGGCGGTCTGTAGACCCTCGAGGGTGATCCCTGGGCTCGCTCTGTCCCGAAGGCAAACTCGGCTTCCAGCAGACGCAGGTGTTCCAGCGCCTGGCCGCCGACCTGCTGCCCCTCGTGCCCAGCCTGACGTCCGGCGAGGTGGCCCGCTGCGCCAAGTCATTCGCCCTCCTCAAGTGGCTCAGTGGGCCTCTGTTCGAGGCCATGCTGCAGGTGAGCCGGGCAGAGCCCTGCGGCCTGGGCTTGGGCGCCGTGGGGCCTGACTCCCCTGGAGCGGGTTCCCTGCCCCTTGCGTCCAGGAGGCACAGCTGGCCGGACCGTCTGTCTGGTTGGTAAGGGGGTTCCTCCTCGGGTCATTCGGGGGAGCAGACGTCATGGGCGGGGACTGTGTTTTCTGTTCTCAGCCTCAGAGGAGTTTATGCTCACGGGTGGCTGTCCTAGGAGCTGTGTGGGTGGCGAGGCTGGAATCCGCTCGCAGGTCGCAGGGCAGCAGCGGGGAGAGACGCGTCTGTGTGCACGGCCCGCAGCTGCTCGAGGCCGTGCCGAGCGGCCGCAGCACTTGCAGAGCCGCTGCTGGGTGGCTCCTGGGGACCCCAGCCTTTGGGGATGGCAGCCGCTGGCAGGGAAGGTCTGGGTGGCCCCGGACGGCTGGGGTCATGGGCGGTGGAAGGGCTGGGTCCGTCTTACACTGTGCCCCACCTGGCCTGGCCGGCCCAGCACGTCTTGGACAGAGCCCAGACCGTCCCGGTGCCGCACCTGTGCAATGTGCTTCTGGCCTTCGCGCACCTCAACTTCCGCCCAGAGCGTGGGGAACAGGAGGATCAGTTCTTCAGCTTGGTACGGTCTGTGCGGCCCCCGCCGGCTGCTGCGGGGCCCTGGGGAGCAGCTCCGGGCTGGAATTCTGCGGGGGGGCCCTGGGGATGCGAGGGGAGCAGGCTAGAGCCACACGACGCACATTGTCCTGGGGCAGAAGGCGCGCAGTCCCCACGCCTGCCGTGGCCCAGAGCAGCTGCAGGTCAGGAGGCGTCGGCTGGCCCCTCGCCGGCCGCACGGTCAGGGCCAGGCGGTCCCTGGGCTCCGATCCTGGTGTTTCCTTAACGCCCCGCTGTGGCTGTGAGCTGCGGGCGGGGCTGCGTGCCGCGTGGGTCACGTGTGCATCCACGCAGCGTGAGCCGTTCTGCGTGTGCGCCGGCTTTGACCCTGGGCCTCTGCAGCACCGCCCTAGCAGGCCCGCTGCGGCCCCTTCCATAGTCTCCAAGTGCCCCTCGAGGCCGGAAACCCCTCCCCGGCCTGGGGCCTGCTCCCGTGTGACGGGAGACCTGCTGCTGGGAGGGGCTGTGGGAAGCTCCAGCTGAAGGTCGCGCAGGTGCCGAGGAGGGTTTCTGGTACTCTTGACGGGGGCCGCCCCAAGCCTGGCCGGGAGCGTGGGCAGGATGGTCCCCGTAGCTCTTCAGGCCTCGGGGTGGCCAAGTCCTTCCGGAGCCCTGAGCGCTGCCGGCCCGGATGCTGGCCGCCGCTGAGCGCAGCCCCTCTGCCCGCCCTGTCCTCGCTCAGGTTCACGAGAAGCTGGACTCCGAGCTGACGGGGCTGCACCCGGCCCTGCAGGTGGACGTGGTGTGGGCGCTGTGCGTGCTGCGGCAGGCGCGGGAGGCAGATCTGCGGGCTGTGCTGCGCCCTGAACTGCACGGCCAGTTTCTAGGTGAGTGGTGGGGCGTCCCCTCCTCCCGAGCCCGCGGCCGCCGCACGTGCCTGCTTTTGCGCGCCTCCACCAGGGCGGGGGAGAGGCGGTCCCCCAGCTCACCTGTTGTTCACCGTTCCTCTGCCCTCTCCCTTCGGGGGACCCCCAGACCCTCTTCCCTGATAGCACATGTGGTTCGGGGAGCAGCGTGGGGGCAGGGTGCCCTTGTCCCCCACCTGGCCCGCGTGTCCCTCAGCCCATCCACTCTTCTCACGCCATCTTCTCCCTTAGAGTCCAAGTCCCCGAAAGACCAGGGCACCTTCAGGAAGCTGCTGCACGTGAACGCCAGCGCGCGGCTGGAGCACCCCGGGTACGCGGGCCCGTGTCTGCCGGCCGCGGCCCTGCTCCCCCGGCTGTCCGCCCTCGATGGGAAGGTGACCCCCTTGCAGAAGGAGCTGCAGGACACGCTGAAGGGGCTGCTGGGGAGCAGCGACAAGGGCAGCTTCGCGGTGCCCACGCAGTACGGCTGGGTCCTGGGTGAGCCCCCCACACCCCCCTGCTGACGGCCACGCGGCTGCTGCTCGTTCCAGACCTCTGTGGTGAGGGCCCTGCGCCCCCGGGGACGGTCCCCAACACGTGCGCCCACACCCCTCCTAGACGCTGAGGTGCTGCTGGACCCCGACGGCCAGTTCCTGCCCCTCAGGAACTTTGTGGCCCCTCATCTCACCCCGCCATCCGGGAGCCAGCCGCCGCCCCCAGGAGCCAAGAGGTAGGCAGCCAGACGCCTACTCCAGGGCTCCCTGCCCCCTCCGCGGGCCCCGGGAGCCCACACCCTGAGCCCCGCGCCCTTCCCTGCCAGGCTGGCCTTCCTGCGCTGGGAGTTCCCCAGCTACGGCAGCCGGAGCCGAGACCTGCTGGGGCGCTTTGCGCTGGCCCGGCGCCACGTGCAGGCCGCTGGCTTCCTGGTGGTGGACGTGAGTACTGTGGGGCCCGGGGGCCGGCCACGTCGGGGGCCCCCTCACATGGGAGAAAGGGAAGCTTGGAAGGTCATGTTTAAGGCCACAACTTCTGGGAGCCACTCAGGGCCTCATAGACCCAGTCTGCGTGCCGGCCACAGAGAGCAGGGTGGCCTTGCAGACTGGGGGACGGTTTTGTCACGTTCACGTCTTGGATGTTTTTCTGTTTTCAACGGTTTTTAAAAATTAAAAAGCCGTTTTCGGGCGCTGCAGCCTTCCGGATCCCTGGCCCAGGGGTCAGGGTGCTGTAGCTCTGAGCACTGAGGGAAGCGAGGCCTCCCCGCTGGCCACAGTCCTGCGGCTCCGTGGGCTTGGGAGGCTAGGGGTGCGGGTGCAGAACGGCGGGCAGAGCCGCGGTCCCCATGCCCTCCCTGCAGGTCCCGTACTACGAGTGGCTGGATCTCAAGTCTGAGTGGCAGAAAGGCGCCTACCTGAAGGACAAGATGCGAAAAGCTGTGGCAGAGGAGCTGGCCAAGTGATGTGTCCTGAGCCGTGGACTGTGCTCGCGGGGGGCCGGGCTCTCCGAAGCCTGGCCGGGCCCACTGGACACTCGTGCCTGGACGAGCTTGCCCAGAGGGGCGTGCTGGCCTGCAGCGCCTGCCTCTTACGGGCAATAAACCTGTGATTTCAGCTTTCAACACCAGGAGACGTCCCGGGTTTTGTTGCCTTCACCGTCTCTGCCCTGCTTTGCGCACTACTGGCCTGTCCCCACCTCTGCCTTCCCCGGGGTCCCCGTCGGCACGCACGCAGCTGCCTGTTGCACACGCTGTGCATCTACGCAGGTGGAGCCTGATGCTTCCGGCCCTGGGGCCCTGAGGACCTTCCCAGACAGGCCCCTGGGTGTGGGGTCCGGCTCGGGGTTCTGCTGGTTGTGTGGGTGCTGAGCAGTCGTCCTGGGAAGTTCTCTCCTGCCTGGGGTGTCAGGCGAGTGTGGGTATCCTTGAGAAGCCACGCTGATAGGAGGTGCTGGGTCTGGAGCAGAACCAGTGCTCGGCAGACAAAGCAGGTCTCGTGACCCCTCCCCGCCCGTCCAGGCCAGAGGTTCTTGGGGTCACAGGCCTGTGCGCCCCAAGCCTCCTTTCCCACTGCAGGAGTAGTGCCACTAGATGCTGGAAAGAACCGTTCATCCCTGGTGGCTCTGGGGTGGAGGGAGCTGGGGAGAAAGGCCACCTCCACCCTGGGTCCCGAGGCCAGCTGTTCCGCACACCTCCAGAGAGCTCTCAGCTCACACAGGCACGGGGGTGGACACGTTTGCCCAGGGGGTGGCTGTTCCTCACTAGGTGGGAGGGGTAGCGACAGTGGCCCGGGCAAGAGACCTGCCATAGCGAAGGGCTGGCATGGGCGAACGCCAGGTGCAGATCGGCTCAGGAGGGCCTCGCACAGCCCCGAGGACGTGTGAGCCTGTCCTGGGCGCCGCCCGGGCCCACCTGCCTCCACGGGACACACACGAGTCCCTTTGTGCTCGTGAGAAGGGACGTGGTAGCTGTGTGCTCCCGGTTTCCTCAGCAGTGACCTCTCGTGGCACTGGCGGGTGTCCCACCAAGATACTGACGGGGATGGGAGTCCCCAAGTAGGACGCCTCCGCGGCACAAGGACCCTTGTACCCTCTACACCCGCACCTCCCTTTTGCCAGCTGCCACCCCCGTTTTCTCCGTGTCTCCCCTGCCCTCAGAGCTGCTGTAGAGGAGTCTGACTGTGTGGCCCTCGGGTCGGATCTGTGCCAGTTCCTTACGGGCGGCGCTCATGGGGGTCCGTATTGGCCCTTCCCTGCCCCTGCGGTTGGATGGCTCGGCCCCACTCGAGGACAGTGCAAACCCCAGATCTCGGATAAACGCCCAGGAGCGCGGCTGGCACAGTGCCGGCCTAGGTTCCCACCAGCAGAGTGAGGAGCCCTTTTGTTCTTTGTGTCCTTGCCATGTGGTGTCATCCTAGATGGCTTGGATTCTAGAAGATGGGGCATCTCCCCGGTAGCTCGTGCTGGGGAGCACTTCATTCTGGCCATCCGGGGGGCGTGTGTCAGGCCCCTGCCATCTCGGTGTTCCCACAGCGACCAGTGTTCTCTCCATCTTTGCGTGTCCTTACTCCATTTGTATCGTCTTTGGAGAAATAACTGTTCAGTTCTGCATCTCGTTTTTAATCACGTGACCTGAGTTGTAAGAGGATGTTCTAGAAACCAGTCACTTACTGGATGAAGGATTTGCAAATGCTTACTCCCGTTTTGTGGGTTTTCACTTCCTTGCTGGTGTCCTTGAACCAACCTGTGAAGGTCACTGTATCTTTTTTCTTTTGCATGTGCTTTGTGGGGGTCATATCCGAAAATCCTTGGTTGGTGAATCTAGATCATGAAAATCCACCCATTTTCTTCGAAGAATTTTATAACTGTGCTCTTAATACCTCTCGTCTGTTTGGGGTTACTTTGTATTTGGTGTGTGCCTGGTGTCAGCTTCATTCTTTTGCACGTGACTCTCCAGTTGTCCCAGCACCGTTACCGGGAGAGCAGCTCTCTTCTCGTTGTATAGTCTTGGCACCTTGGTTGAAGCTCCATTGGCCACAGATGTCGGGTTATTTCTGGCTCTCAGCAGCACCCTGTCTCTTGATTGTTGCTTTGTAGGACATTCTGAAGTAGTGTGAGTCCTGGACTACGTGAAAAGGCTTCCGTACAGCCAGGAAAACAGCTAACGAAACTGAAAGCCTGCAGAATGGGAGGAGATGTTTGCAAATGGCACAACCAATAAAGGGTTAGGATCTAAAGTATATAAAGAACTTAACACACACACACAAAACCTTCCAGTTTGAAAATGGGCAGAAGACATGAACAGACGTTTCTCCTAAGAAGACATCCAGATGGCCAGCGGACACATGACAAGATGCTCCACATCACTCGTCATCGGGTGGGACCACCTCACACCGGTCAGAATGGCTAAAATAACACGGAACGACAGGGGTCCGCGAGGATGTAGAGGAAGGGGACCCTCTTACGTTGTTGGTGGGAATTCAGGCTGGTGCAGCCGCTGTAGGCAACAGTATGGAGTTAACTCAAAAAAGTTCAAAGTAGAGCCACCCTACAGCCCGGCAATTGCACTGCCAGCTGTTTACCCAAAAAAGATAAAACACAAATTCGAAGGAATACCCGTGCCTCTAGGCTTAGAGCAGCGTTACTGACCGCAGCCAAATTACAGAAGTGATCCGAGTGCGCGTTGCCTGATGAATGGGCAAAGGGGAGGGGAGGGGTGTACACACATGACACACAGCAATGGGCTATTTACAGCGTGAGGGGGAAACGTGGCCTTTGCCATGATGTGGATGATGCTGGGAGGTATTCCGCTAAGTGGACTAAGAAAGACACCATAGGATTTCATTTCTGTATGGAATTTATGAAACAAAAAGGAAAAGGGCAAACTAAAAAACAGATTCTTAACTATAGAGCACAAATGCATACCCGAGGGGAGGTAGCCAGGGGGCCGAGGCGCTTGGTGAGCACTGACTGACCGGAAGTGTTGGCTCTCTCCACGCCTGCAGTTCATACGACGCTACGTTAACCACACCGGGATTTTAAAGAGGGTGAGTCCTACTTGATGGTACATTTTCAAGGTGGTTTTGACTATTCTGGGTCCCTTGTGGCTGCGTATGCCTTTTAGAAGTAGCCGGCCAGTTCTTACAAAGAAGTAGTTGGGACCCGGAGAGGAATAGCAAGGGAGCCTTGGCTCAGTTTGGGGAGCGCTCTCGGAACCACCTTATGCCTTCTGATCCATGAATGTGGGATGTTTGCACATTGATTTAGCCGTTCCTTAATTTCAAAGGTTTTCTAATTTTTAGAGTGTAGATTTTGAGCTTCCCTTACTAAACTAATTCCTAAGGACTTTATTCTTTGGGGGGTTATTATGAATGGCATTCTCTTTATTTCAATTTTGGATTGTTTATTACAAATTTATAGAAATACAGTTGAGTCTTGGGGCTCCTGGGTGGCTCAGTGGGTTAAATAAACCATTGCCTTTGGCTCGGGTCATGATCCCAGGGTCCTGGGATCGAGCCCCACATTGGGCTCTCTGCTCAGCAGGGAGCCTGCTTCCCCCTCTCTCTCTGCCTGCTTCTCTGCCTACTTGCGATTTCGGTCTGTCAAATAAATAAATAAAACCTTTAAAAAAAAATAGTTGAGTCTTTACCCAAAGTACAATTCATGTACAATATCCTGTTGGATATTGGTGACTAATTTGTACATGGATCCCCATGAGTCTAGTTGCCTCTGTCACCGAAGCTACTGGAACGTTGTTGACTGTATCCCCTATGCTGTACATTGTACTCATGACTTACGTGGTTTCTAACTGGAAATTTGTGCCTGTTAATCCGCTTCGTCTGTGTCCCACCCCCACAGCCCCTCCCTCCCTCTGGTCACCCTTCTTTGAAGCTGTTGCCCTTTTGTGTTTGGGGTTTTAGATTTTTTACAATTTTGTAGGATTTTTTTTTTTTTAAGATTTTATTTGACAGACACAGCGAGAGAGGGAACAGAAGCAGGGGGAGAGGAAGAGGGAGAAGCAGGCTCCCCACTGAACAGGGAGCCCAATGCGGGGCTCGATCCCAGGACCCCGGGATCCTGACCTGAGCCGCAGGCAGACGCTTACCGACTGAGCCCCCGGGCGCCCAATGGTGTAGGTTTTGAGTGAACCTGCGCTCCAAGAAGCGGCTGCGCCAGTTTATGTTCCCACCAACGTGCGCGAGTGTCCCAGCTTCACACGCTCGCCAACACTTTCCATGTTTCCTGTTTGATACCAGCCGTTCTGACGGGCGGGGTGGGCTCTCCCCGCTGTGACGCGTGGGTCCCTGGCGAGGAGTGGCACTGCGCATCGTGTCACACGTCTGTCGGGGTCAGCTTTTCTTTGGAGAAATACCTCTTCGGACCCTCTGCCCGTTTTTTAACCAGGGCATCTGTTGTTGGGTCTTTACTGCATATGCTCTGCTTTATCGTTTTATGTGTTTTATCGCGTATGTTCTGTATGTATTTTGGGTATTTGCCCCTCACTGGGTCGTGCGGTTCACGGGTCCCCCCACATTCCATGGCTGCCGCCTTCATGTTTCGTTGATGGCTCCCCCTGTGCACCGGCTTTCTGGGCTGATGCAGTCTCACACGCCCTTGCCTGAGGAGACTCCGAAAAGAATGTTGCGAGACCGACAGAGAACGTGCCTGTGCTCTCCTCTGGGGGTTTTATGGCTTCGGGTCTCACACTGAAGTCTTTCGTGCATTTTCAATTTATTTTTGCGTGTGGGGTAAGGCAGAGCCGGTCTCGTCCTGCATGTTGTCCAGTGTCTGTCGGCGAGACCGTCTCTCCCCCGTCCGACACTCTGGCCTTCTTTCTCACAGGTGCGTCGACCCCCTAAGTGCGCCTTTACTTCTGGACTCTCTCCAGGTCCGCTGACCCGTGCGTCTGTTTCCCGCCAGGTCCATACTGTTTGAGTCACTTTGATTATGTGCTCTGCGGTGTCGTGTAAAGTGTGGGCGCGTGGTGCCTCCACGTGTCGCTGCTTCTCAGGATCGCT